CAGGCAACGTGTGCCCCATGGCCGTGCCCAGGGTGGCTGCCAGTGCCTGACGCTGCCTGGAAAGCAACTCGGGGAGAGCTGGGGAGGGCGCACTGCATAGACTCCGTATCTTGTCCGGGAAGTGTTACGTTACACCCCGCTACACAGAAAAAGGCTGACTGTCCGGTTCCTGGGGTCAGCCGGGAGGTGGGAAGCAGCTCCTCCCTCCTGGGCCTGGGAAGGCTTTACACAGAGAAAGCATCCCCGGCATTTTTCATCCTTCAGCCTCACGCCCTGCCCCTGGTTGGGGATGACTGTGCTCCCTGCGTGGGGCTGGAGCAAAGCTGGCAGCTCCGTGTGAATACTGGGGAGATGGATGGCAGGGGAGGTCAGTGTGGGGCGATAAATCCTGCCACTGCTTCCCGGCGTGAGATTTGGCTCCTTGCTTGCTTGCTCTCTTTTTTCTCCAACCCTGATTGGAAAGGCAATGGGTGGGTTTCCCACCTGGTGGAGTGTCCCAGTCAGCCCAGGGGCCAGTGGAATGTCCGTTATGTTCAGTACCCCTGGGTGCACACGGACAAGGAAACTGATTGCCTCTGGATGGCTTATTATGGGATGGGACAGCAAGAAAGAGGAGTTATCAGGACCAGCCCTGCCCTGACTTTGCGTGTGCTGCCGTCGATAGGGTGGCAGTTTGGGGTAGGCTTCGGTGCTGGCTTGCCTTGGAATCTGCAGGGTGGCTGTCACTCCTGTTCCTCCCCTGTGATCATGTGGGAGGGGATGTCCCCCTGCCTGGGAGGGAAGTGTCCCCTCGGGCCCTCCCCGGGCTGCAGAGCTGTGCCTCACCCAGCTTGGGGAACAGGTTCTCCACTCTCAGCAGGGCTGAGTGGGGAGGGTGGCCATTCTCCACCTTTCAGAGGTTTCCCAGGGGCTGGGCTGTGATGCTGTGGGGCATGGAGGGACACACGGGCTGTGTTTCCCACCGGGACTCCGTGCTTGAAGCTGCCCCATGCCAGCATGGCGCTGCTGGCATCATCTAGGACAGGTCTCAGGGTCTGTCCTTGCTGTCATCCTCCTGTGTAAGGAGGGGACAGCTAAGTGAATGAGGACCACCAAATCCAGGCTGGTTTGTGAAGGGTGGGCAGTGAGCCACTTTCTCAGCTCTCCACAGCAAGGAAGGGACCCTAAGGGGGACGAGGTGGGAGGCGGGTGCAGGATCAGCCACAGGGATTTTCCATGCAACGCAGCAGTGCTGAAAATGGGAGCAGAGGATGGGGTTGTGGTGGAGAAACCCATCGAGGGTTAATAGGCAAACGCTTCTTCCCCAGGTTTATATGTTTCCCGAGGCACCGGTTTGAGGGGGCTGTCAGGACCTTTGCTCTGATCTGTGAGGGCCACTCTGATGTTACGGGGTTGTGAGACCCCCTCACCCCTGCCTCTTGCATCAGTCTCCGGCGCCGGTCTATGTACACTTGATAAGGACACCTGGGTAGAGACCTGGGCAAAGGTCCAAGAGGTCTCCCACAACCAGCACTGTGAGGCAGCCCCAGCCCCGGGGTGCAGGGCATTGAGCCGGGTCTGACCATGTGCTACCTATGAACCTCCCATGAATGCCACCAAGTTGTGACGCTGAGGTGCTGCATCATGTGTTTGACTTGGAGGGCACTGGGAAGAGCCTGGCATTGCCTGTGCCAGCTCAGCCCCACAACTTCAGCTTTCACCCCCGAGTAGTCATGCGCGGACACAGAGATGGGTTCCTTGGTTTCCTCCAAGTGATGGAAGAGCAATGCCAGGACCCGGGACTTCCCTTTCCATCCACCAGCTCTTCCTAGAAATGGCACCGCGGGAAGGCCTCTGGCAGGAGGGACTCAAATGCCTGGGTTTTGTGCTGGGAGTGTTTGCTGGCAGGAGGATGCCCTCCTTGCTGGGGCCTTGCCAGCATGTTCAGACCCATCCGGTCACGGCTGGGGGAATTAGGACCTCCTGAAGCTCCTTCCTCCCTGCCAGGGAGCAGCTGGGGGGTCAGCACCAGATGGCCCTTTAGAGACTCTCAGATGTCTGGTAGCCTCAGCAGTTAAATCAGGGGTGCCTTGCTTTGCCAGCAGCTGTTTGCTGTCATCCTTGGCCATCCCTGGTGTGGCTGTTTCTCCTCCTGCCATGGTGCTGCTCCTGCCCTGTCAGTCCTTGCTGCCAGCAGTCACCTCTTGCACCCGCCTGCCCTTTCCATGGATTTTGCAGGGGTCTAACTGGTCATGAAGGGATGTGCTCACATCTCAAGGCCTGGAGGAAAGTTCTCCGAGTTGGCTGCAGCCCTCCCTACCGTGGACAACCTGGTCCATCGGTTCCCCTTCCTGTACCTTGGGGTCATCCCAAAATGGGGTGGCAGGGTCGTGCAGCACTCAACCTCCTGTCTCTGTCCTCATTGCTTTCACCTGCAGGGCTGGGGAGACAGAGGCAGCTCAGGAGTGGGACCCTGGGGAGAGGGAGGTGGTCTCCCTGCCCCAGCCCCCACCTCCAGCACATCTTTAACTCAGGTGCAGGAACAACAACTGCGGGTCTCCCAGGGCTAAATTAGAGGGTCTCTGGTTACACTGCATCAGGCGGGGGACGGATGGACGTGGTGTTTGCTCCTGGCTGTGGCTGCTTGGAGGCTTCTCCCCCGGCAAACCTACTGGCAGAGCTCTGCCCTGGGGCTGGGACCACCTGCAGCAGGGAGGCAGCAAGGGTCAGCATGATAATCCCTGGCAGCAGCAGCTCCAGCAGCCCTGGCACAAGTGTGGGGGCACAGGGAAGGAGCAGGGGGGCTGCTGGAGTACGGCTGGGAGGATGTATGGAAATGTTCTGTGTGTGTGTGCATATAGACCAGCATGAGTGTATGGATCCATATAACCCCTGTAAGTTTAGGGGTGTGCCTGTGTGTGTCTGAACACATGTGAATGCTGATGCATGTGTATGGAGCCATATGAGTGCCCACATGTGTAGGGATCCCTGGGAGACCCTATGTGTGTGTATGGATCCATGTAAGTGCCCAAGTGTGTACGAACCTGTGTGAGTGCTGGTATGTGTATATGGACCTTTATGAGGGGTATGTATATGGACCTTTATGGGGGTGTATGGATGTGGCCTATATGTGTGTATATGCGTGTGAGTGTAGGGGTGCATCTGGGACCATGTGTGTGCCCACATGCATATGCCCACGTGTCCACACGTGTCTGAACACACCCATGAGTATGTATAGAGATACGTATAGTGTCCCAGCGTGTATGGGCGCTGCTGTGCATACATGGACTAGTGTCCCCATGTATGGAGCCATAGGGACTCATGGGTTTTGAAGGCAGGGTTTGGGGGCTGAGCCCCTCTCCATGACCACCCTTGTGCCCCTTGCCCTATCCCACAGTGCTGAGCAGTCCTAGTGGGTACCAGCCCCCCTGCTCCCCTCGCTGCCCCCCAGGACCCTTCCCAGCCTTGCTGCTGTCCGGGGGATGCTGAGAGCCTCTATGTCTGCTGCGACACCATCTCCTGACCAGGGAGTCCCTAGGGCTTGGGCTTAGGGGCTCCAAAGAGGAGGTGTAAAAACTAATCAAGGGTGTGAGAATAAAGGCGCTGTGGGTGGGAGAGGAGTGCTGGCAGCAGCCCTCACCCCATGGCTGCCCTTGCTCCCTCCCCAGCTGCTGCCCTGGAATCGGATGTGAGTGGGGGTTTTGGGATGGATGCACTCCTTGCTGGCTTGGGCCTCCGCTAATCCACTAATTGAGTTAATAATAGAGATAAATCCCCTGTG